TTATCGACTTGTGATATTCCTCAGTTAAAATTTCTGGTGCACGTGATAAACGGACGTATGGTCTCGAACTGTGCTCACTTTGGTGGCAATATAAGCCGCCGTTTGCGCAAAATCCAGTATCGCATCAACATGCCACCAAGACGAAAGCTAAGAGACTTTGATCGTGCCAGGGCTATGGCATGGCTGCAGGATGGAGTTGGAGCCCGAGAAGTTGCAAGAAGGCTTGCGGTAGCGTCATTGTCCGCCTGAAGCAGGGCCGTCAAGCCACTGGATCAGTCCCAGACCATTCGGCGTTGTCTGCATGCTGCCAACATGATCTGGGCCCGGCGTCCAATCAAGAAACCAAGGCTGACCGCAGGACACCAGGCAAGTTGTCTTGTTTGGTGCAGGGCCCATGAACCATGGACACGTGCCTAATGGGGCCATGAATTGTTCACAGATGAGTCATGATCGATGGTCAACCCAAAAGATGGACGCGTGCGTGTGTGGCGGTGTCCACGAGAACAGTTGATGCATAGGTGACTCTTTTCGGGGGTGGCTCTATAATGGTATGGGGTGGGATTAGCACACACAATAGAACCCCCCTTTACCATGTTGATGGAATTCTGAATGGCCAACGGTACCTGCAAGAGATTCTACGTAGCCACTCGTCACAGCTGGTCTCCAGCACTTTGGTCAACATGCAATACTCCAGACTCCAGGACGACGTTACAACACCGCCCCACATCGTTGCTGAGCAGTAAACACGTTCATCAGGCAAGTATATTAAAGGGACTTCAAGAAAGCCATGACAAGTGTACAGTCACGACTTCAACTCCATTGAGAATGTTTGTGGTGAACTTTGCCGGAGAATCCAGCAGCACCAGCCACCTGCAGCTAACCGACAAGAGCAGCTACAGATCCTGCTTCAGGAGCGGGCAAACCTTTCTTCGGCCTTCATAATCATTGCCACCACCATCAACACTATGAGTATGAGGCGACGCTGCCTTGATTGCATTGCTAGGCGTGGTGTGCACACCCGCGTTTTTGAAGGGACCGTCATGGACACTTAATTCCTGGAATTTTCTTTTGAGGAGTAGCAACCTGTGGTTCGGAGCGATATATAAAAATGTATTGCTTTAGTTTGTGACGTCATCATTAGGATATTGAATTTATTTTGTTAAGAAATGATTCTAAATCTCTTTGAAATTTCAAATGTTTTACTTTTCACCTAGTTGTGCTGCGAGAGTGTTTGCAAGTGGTCCCTAACCTAATTTGTTGAAGTCTGACGTACCGTACATAAAAGAGTAGCAGCTAGACTTGGGTCGCCACCCAGCCACCCGCCAGGCAAAATATAAAAAAGAATCAATTCCTACCAAAACTGAAAGTTAAATGATAGCCTACGTACCCCTCGTCCCCTCAATATGACCTCATGCTATGCAGTTGCGAGCGCCGTAAATCTCTTACCAAAACAAAAACAAACTCTTCCAAATTGTCTTTATCTAATGAGCGGCGCACGTAGCTTCTTCACAGGCATAAATATTATAGATCTCTCTCTCTCTCTCTCTCTCTCTCTCTCTCTCTCTCTCTC